TGAGGCTTTAAGGCCTAAGAAGTTAGAATAGCTTCATATGTTTCTACCGATCTCATGCATTTCAGCAATCACAATTATGAGAAAATTGTGGGGGTGACTTAAAATATTATTAAGATATAATGGTTTTTACTTAACAAGAAGTATTTGCTACCTAAACGTGATAATATGTAATTTTAAGGTATGGAAAGCTTTAGAGATATTTCTTTAAATACCTTAAATGTGGGGGAATATGCCCAAATGTTAGCAAATTACTTATTAGCAAGTCCGAACATATGTTTCGAGGACTTAACATTGGAAAACAACTACTCTCATATGAAATAAAATTTCATAAGATGGATTGTGCACACCATCAAAGGTAGTCAATCTAGTAGTGGATCCAATTATTAAAGGTTAGACTAGAGAGTAAGTTGATCATCGAGGGGAATGAAGCTAAAGCCAACATAACTAATGAATTAGCCGGGCGGAAACCTAACTTAGTTGATTGGAGATCCCATGGTCTAAGTTCAGTAAACAAACTGGTTGGGCATAATTCAAAGAAGTTAACACACTATATACCTTATTCCTATGATGGAAGAAGTGTGCTATCTGCAGAAGTTTTAGGATGTATATTTATACTTAATGACAATGATATCTTATAAATAAAAGGAATATTGCAGAGTATTCTTAATCAGTGGTCACCTATGTGAGAGTAGAAGTGGGTCACTTCTATGAGTATGAGATGGCTAAATTCTCTAAAGCGCTCATGAATTCGGGATTTGTTCATGACCAAAATGAACACAATTGTATGAACCAAAATATATTAGGATTAGTGATGTGTGTTGCTTATTGTCTCGGTTTACTGCTGCAGTGAACAGTTCAAGATTCCATATCCACTGCATCACCAAGTAAATCCAATAAGTATTCACTAGGGTACATTCAAGTCCAAAAGACACCTCTCCCGATGAGATTCCATATCCACTGCATCACCAAGTAAATCCAATAAGTATTAACTAGGGTAGGTTCAAGTCCAAAAGACACCTCTCCTGATGCATCTCTTGTCCGCCTGTACTCTCAAATTCTTCCTAATTTTTCATTCATGTGGGGGATTGTTAGAATTTATATATTATAATATTTACTTCAATATTTGAATGAAAAATGCTTTAAGTGTTTGTATCAAACTGTATTTTTCATTAAGTGGGTGCCATCTTATACAAAGTGGCGCCACATTGAGTATGGACCTTTTAAATGGTGTCATCTAAAAGATGTATGTATGCATCTCTTCGTCAATCAATGTCTTCGGTTTTATTTAACCTCATGAAACCATGGCATTGAAGATATAGAAAATTAGAGTTAATTTTCAAAATAGGTTTTCCCCACTTTGTTTCTCTCATGTTTCGTGTTTGAAGTTCTGAGTCGTGTCTTGAAAATACGGAATGTATAAAGTTCGCTAGAGTCCGAAGATTGAAGTGGCTTAACTTTGAATTATACATTGTTGAATCCTAGGAGATGGACGCCTACCGAACTACAAGCACAAGAGTAGGGACGAAATTTTGTCTCTAGGACATTGCATTTATGCAAGCCTCAATTTCCAAGTTTATCAAATTTTCTAACTTTCTTTCTAATTGTTTATATTAATCTCATACATAAATTGATGTTGTGAATTTCTTTATGATTATTATTAATGGAATTCTTGTGTTATTTTCATATTTTCTAATATTGCTCCAACAAGTGTGAGTTTCTCAGAATCTGCGTTCTACAGTGAGAAAGTCCTCTCAATTCTAGTGAGAGAAAATGTTTCATCTCTGTGAAAAATCATGAAAGTATGAATCAAGTCTTCTTGTATTCTCAAATTGATAAGCATTGCCTATTTTAAAATTATATGTTTTGATGATATATCGTACTAATTATCAACCGAAGCTTTTAAGCTGCAGTTGATTTGAGAGAAACTTAATATTTTCACTGTTGGATGCAGATTTCATACTAGCTGATCAGTATTATTTTCATATCAGAGGATCACAAATCATTCTCTGTATTTGTGTTTAGAATAAACTTTTCTTTTTTTTTCACAAATCATTCTCTGTATCTGGTGACTGAGCTTGGATGAATATTGAGTTGTAACGGTAGTTGCCTCCCTCAAACAGCTTCAGTAGAGGAGAATTGAAGCTACAGAGGTACTCGCTGCCACTTGGATTAGAATTGAGTGACCATTGAGCTTAAATGTGTACCAAGAAAAAATACTTTAAAATACTTCGTTACATTATTATCTTCTAAGGTTAACAATATATAGGCACATGCTTTATTCTACAAGAGAAAATAATTACAAAAGATAAGGAAACTAATTCTTAAAAACTACAAGTCTCAATCCTACCAAAAATAGGACTCCAAGAATATTTACAATTAAAGCTCAAATCAACAATTTATTTATTTGTTATTCTTTAATTTATTATCGTAAGACTACAAAAAGTAGAAATGCAGTAGCAGAACAAAAAAAAAAAATATATATATATATATATATATATATATATATATATATATATACAGCCCTTTAAGGGAAGACATCACCGTTTTAAAAAAAAAAATGGAGACACCTTCTTTACCATTAGATTTGAATTTAATGAAATTCTGTGGCTAAGATTAAATCATAGGCCACAGAGTCTCAACCACAGAATTTCATTAAAACCAAATCTAACGGTTAAGAAGATGCCCTTATTTGTTTTTGAAAAATGGGGATCCCTTCCCTTAAAGGCTTCTTATATATATTGATGAGTGCAAAGGAGAAAATGGAGGGCAAAAGTGTTTTCATATTTCTTAAGAAACAAAGTGGAATGGGTGCTCAAATTATTATGTTAAAGACTGAAAGATGTTTTCGAAATAATCCAGCAAACACGGATTTGGATCCATTTGGATTCAAATTGTGAGAATTCTAAGGATTCTCACATTTTAGTCATTTATAAAAAAATCGTGCAATTAGAAATCATTTGACTTTTTTATTTAAAAATTAAACATAATAATACTTGATGAAAACTGACTATACGGTATACGATGAACAGTTAAGATGTGAAGATTCTTAAGATTCTCCAAAGAGGATCCGGAGAGTTTCTTCTTCCAGTGAAAACGCGACGCTTAAGAAACTTAATTTAACAATCAAGCCAATATCGTGTTCAACGTGTCATTGATAAGATTAATATAATAGAAAGTACCTAGCTGATAATACTAAAGTACAGGTAACATTTTAACATTTTGTTCAACATGTGAATAATATTATTATTAATATAATGTATTACTTGTATTTGATATCCTTTTCTTTGTAAGCTGTATTATTTGTATTTTATATCCCTTTCTTCGTAAGCTATGTGACACAAGACTTCTTCCTACATAAGTACATATACAGCCATCTAGATTGACCAAACTACATTGTAACCACCGAAAACTTAGGTCAATTGTCATTTTTCATGCTTCTGTGTAATTTATCATGTCAAAGAAGTCCCAAAAAAATGAAAAAAGAAAAGTAGGATATTCGGGTCACAAAATTCACCGAAAACTTAGGCTTATTGTAATTAGACCTAACAGTTTCTTACACGATACGTAAACGATACGAAAATAACGGGTTTCGGGTTAACACGATAACTAATCGGATCGTTATCAGGTCACACGATAAGAATCCGTTAATAACGGGTCTTTAACAAGTTTACACAAATGTGACACGTGGGTAACCTGTTTTAATACGTTAAGAAAAAAATTATTGATGATTTAAAATTTTTAAACTACTAAAAAAACTTACTATAAATACAATAGTCATAGTGACACACCCCGACCCGGGATGTCCACTAGGACTCCGAATCAAGTTGTGTTGGTCGATACCTGGAAGGTGACGAAGCCATAAAGTGTATTGATGTGGAAGATGTGAATAAATTTAAACCTAAAAGTGCCTAAGTACAAGATTGCGCAGTGAGCGGGTATGAACCCATTTCACACTTAATGACAGAGCATAAGTACAATACAGTAAAGTAGGGTGAGAATTATATCATCGATGGTAATCGTCTACCCCAAGATTTGACAATAATCCTCATCGGTACGAAAACTCTGTTACTAAAACCTGAAGGGGCGAAAAATAAGGGTGAGTGGGCCTGAAAATAAAGTTTTAATAAAAACCTTTTGAAAACGTTATAACCCCTCGCCGTAAAACCTATATAGTTTCCAGAAAAATAATAATACTACGATAGTATGAAAATGAATGTACAAGGGCAATGAAAACAGAAGCATACCATGCCATAATATCTCAGCAATAATAAATGTAAGCCAGGTGTGAGATCAGTCTAAACTAACATGCCAGTCGGAGTCACCTTAATGTGACATGTACGACTAGACCTATTGCTCATTAGTCTATGCTAGCACACGAGTCGGAATCATCTAGTGTGACCTGTACGATAAGCTGGGTGTAAATATGTACGCTATAGTGCTACAATCACACGAAAGCTAGCGCTATGCACGCCTCACCTACTAGTCAGAGTCGCCTAATGCGACCTGTATGACAAGCTAGCACCTGACTTGGATCCAAGGTGAGCATGCGGTGCGGGAGGTGAACAATCATGTGAAGGCTGTGCCCTGGTCCGGAGTGGGAGCACTAACATCGGGGTGCAGCAATGAGGAGCTATAAATGAATATATGCATGCTCATATAATTCAACCATTTCAATCACATAATAACTCACTTGAACTTACCTGCTCCTCCGTAGGATCATTTGGCATAACCACAAATCTCATCACAAAGCAATATTTAAATATAACACATTTAAATCATGGCATGCTATGCATAATCAATTTAAAACATTTTCTGGAAAACCGTAAGGTATATATATATATATATATATACACACTATAAAAAGGAAAAAGACCCACTGACCTGAGTTTGCGCTACAACTCCTTAGCACAAATATCGAGGTGTCACGAACGATCTGGGCCTAGAATAATTATCAAATCACATCTCAGAATTCTTATCAATAGAACATGTAACTTAGGGCCTGTTTGGGATTGAGGTGCTTAAAAAAAAAGCTACTATGAAAAAAAGCTATGAAAATTTTTGGTGTTTGGTAAACTTTGAAAAACAGCTTTTTTTCAAAGTTGAGGGTGAAAAAAAGCCCAAAACCAAGAGATGACAAGAAGCTGCAATTTGCAGCTTCCAAAAGCTGCTTATTTTCACCCACACACGGGTGAACAGTAACCGGTTTAATGAAAATTTCCATAACCCAAAACTGCCCTCGGCATTTCCTTCACCGACGCTTGCCTTTCTCCAAAAACTCTCTCGCACGCTCTTCACCTCAGAGCTCTCTCGCCTTTCTCCGAACCTCAGGCTCTCTCTCGTTCTCAGAGCTCTCTCGCCTTTCTCCGAACCTCAGGCTCTCTCTCGTTCTCTCCTTCTCTCGATCTCGTTCTCCAGGTTTCTCCAGGTAAGCTTCTCATTTATGTGTTTGGATTTTTCAAATTAGGGATGGGGAGATTAGGGAAAGAGGGGTGGGAAGAGCAAAGGGATGAGGGTATGGGTGTCGGGAAAAACAATTGGGGATGGAGGGTGGGGAAAAATTAATTGGGGAAGGGTGATATGGTTTGTGGAAAAAATTAATTGGGAAAAAATTAATTGGGGAAAAAATTAGGGTTTGTGGAGGAAACAAAAAAGATCTGCTTCTGATTCTGATTTAGGTATATGTCAGGGCTAATTTGCTTTGAAGAAGGTCTGCTTCTGATTTGGGTATATGTCAGTGATAATTTGCTTTGCTCTGCTTCTAATCTGTGAACTGTGCTTATGATTTGTCATGTGCTTCTGATTTGTCATGTGCTTCTGATTTGTCATGGGTTTTGCCTTGTAAGAACATGTATTTTTAGTAATTCACAGCTGCAGATGCATCTGTGTTTCTAGCTGCAGCTGCAGATGCATCTGTATTTTTAGTAATTCACAGCTGCAGATGACAGAGAGTAGCATTTGTGTTTATGTTGTTTCTATCTGTTTTGTTTTGATTTTGCTACCAACAAGCATCCGCGCATTTTTCCAATGTTGTTTTCTTTCTACACGTTGCCATATCCAAAATTTTGAAATATAAATATAGTATGAACACAAAAACGCCCTTAGGACCATATCTATTTATGCCATTTCGAAGTCAAGCTGCAAATGTTAAAATTAAGTTGGTTCTAAGTACGTTGTATGTCCCATGGTTCGATTTTGTATAGGTCAATGTCAACGATGACATCTAGGTCAATATGTAGTGAGTTGATCTTTCTTTTCAGGTAGTAACCCACAAGTTCTTCTTCTGTCGGGTGAAATCTGAAGCCTGGTGGAACACAAGATTCCATCTCCATTACTAATGTTCAGTATGTAGGCGCACCTGCATATCAGGCAAGGAAGTATGAGGAAGAGTAATTATTATACTTTTGACCAGCTATATATGTGCATGAGTGTTTATAGAGAGAGTACTACCAATCTTGTTGTAGTCATGTATATTCATCCATCATATGAAATAAAAAGAGTCATGTGATCCATTTTTTTCTCACAGACGTATTGCCTATGTAACAGTCATGGTTGTCATTCATAATCTTCTATATCTAACATTTTGTAGTCCCTTTCTTTATAACTTAGTTTCAATTTACTCTTAATTTGGAGAGATACTGAAGAAGGAATTCTATAAGTTTTATAGAACCTATTCTATAGGAGCTAAATTGTTAGCTAGTAATGATGGCGATTTCACTTTGTGGGAGCTGTGAGTGGTCCTGCATGTGTTTTTAGCTAAATGACTGCGGAAAAAGAAATCATGACAGACTAGTAGTGGATTGGAAACCACCACACACTAACATTAAAACATAGGATTATCTTATAATTAAGCTCAAGTAATTTGTTTTCATTAGTTGCATGGAGTAATTAGGCAAAAGTATATCGAACACAAAAGTTGGCCGAAAAGCTTGACTTTGCTGGCACAAGCATGTTATATTTCTTTGAGTGCAGTGCACTCCCTGCTTCCTACCTCCTGCTCGATCAATGTCTACTGGTAGTAACAGCGGTGCGAATTAAATTCCTTTAAGCATTTCATTTCATACCCAGGACATAGCTACACAATCAAAACTAATCAATTAAGACCAATCTAAGATTTTCATTAATTACCGTGAGATTGTCAATTCGATCTATATAGTACAAACAAATCATTGATCGATCGATCGATGGATCATCCATAACACAAAATGTTAATTTTTAATTAACCGTAAATGTAGATGGATGACACAAACACTAGTAAGCTCATCAGTTAAAAGGCACTAAGAAATTAAAAAAAAAAAATTACAATATATATGTTGTATAATATATAGTTTTGCATTGGGTGGAGGTCTTGGGGCAAATCCTCGACGATCCATTTGGTTTTGTTACATGCCACGGTCATCTTTGCTTCATCGTTTTGACCTTTCTCCTTTTATATAGGGTTAGCAACAAGTTTGATGAATGCATCTAATTAGACTACTTTCAAGTACATTAACAATATTGTACTAATGAATCCTAGCTATTCACTCTAAAATATTTCTATTAAAGTAGTTTGTCATACTAATTAATATTTAAGATAAAGTTTATAAATATTTTTCTTCTAAAAATAAAATATATTTAGTAATTCACTTTTATTTGTTAAGAAAATTAAATTAATAGCACATCTAGTATTATACCCTTTTTGGTCATTTCACACAGTCACAGCTGTTTTACAAAAAAGTTTACCAAACACTATGATACTGCTTTTTGTTTCCAAAAGCACTTTTACAAAAAAGTTTACCAAACACTTTGCTGGCTTTATTTCACAGCCGCTTATTCTCACAGCACAGCCGCTTATTCTCACAGCAGCTTTTTTTCAAAGCACAGCAATACCAAACCAGCCCTTACATATCCTATTTGGGAAGATCCGCATGTCAGATTCCCGATCTGTAAGTTTCTAATATCCTCAAATATTATGTACTATAACGTATCAAAGTTTGGTGACAATCCAACGGTCGGATCGTCGATTGCTATAATAATCAAGTGACGGACCTTAATGGAATTAGGTTCAAACGATGGAAATTTGTCAATCGGACTTCATGTACGGAATTGGACAATCAAATTTAGCCTAGGAAGGTCAGGGGATGCCTCGGCCCAAGCGCCGCCGTACACGGCGATCAGCCACCCAGACTCGTCGAAAAAATCAAGTATTTCTAAAAATTCTCTAACTTCACAAAAATGAAGATCTCAATGAGTAGAGAAAATTTTATACATGTGGGCAAGTCCAATTTGATTGGGAAAAGTTTCAAATCGCCACGAACTCGCGGAGACCCTAGAATTTGGGTGTTCTTGATTTGTCCTCAAATCAACTCCGACGCTCCAACCAATGATTGGGCATTGTTTCTGAGCTCAATGGAGGGCTATTGGTGGTGACAATTGAAAGAAATTATTGCATGAACGGTGGATTCGCCGCCGTGCATCCCTTAGAGCTGACGTGGGTGTTCTTGTGAAACTAGGGTCAAAAACCCGTCAATCATGGGTGGAAATTGAATAAAGGCCAGTGAGAAGTTCCCAGGTGGTGAATGGCTGCAATTTGGGGGAAAAATCAACGGATAACCGTTAGAATGGTTGCGGAGTGCGTTGGGTCGGCAGGGAGGAACCGGGTCAAGGTGATCCGGTGCTCCCTCACTCTCCCCTTTTTCTTCCTTTCTTCTCTTTCCCATTGGTCACTCACCCTCTCCCTTCTCTCCATTCGTCCTCACCTCTCCTTCATTTCTCTCTCTTATTTTCCATCTCCACCGACCATCTCTCATTCCATTCAATCTCAGCCACACACGTGGCTTTCCAGATTTAGCTTCAAAAATCTAAAGCCTTCATGAAAAAATTAATTGACCATTTTGTTCTCGACTTCGTTCGTTAATAACTCCTTTGTTATAACTCCAAATTGCTTTTCATTTGCGCCCACGCATTCGTAGCAATGAGTACTATGAGGATACGCCAAGAAAATGAATCTTACATGACATGACATGGCAGTCAACGAAAGTCAACCTCCTCGTCTCGAAGGGCAATTTCGTCCTTTCACTTTTCTAAAATTAATAAAATCGTAAAAGTAGGGACGGGTTACCACACTTAGTGTATATGTATATATTATATATTAAATATTAAATAGGTTTTTACCAAAAACTATTGTATTATTATTTTATATAAATTTAAAAAAATTTAAGTTTTATTTATTTATTTATTTATTTTAATATTATACTATAGAGAAGAATAAGATTAAAAAATTGTAAAACATATTAAAATAAAAGTATAAAGTAATTTAAAAATACCAAACACATTGAAAAAAAATTATAATAATTAATTTACAAGTGCGAAAAATGTGAAAAAATATACAAAGGCTCATGATCGCATCCCCTACGCTATGAGTATGGGTATAACGTCATTTGAATTTTAAAACCATACAAACCCTCATGAATAGTATTTTTAAGGGAGTTCAAAATAAATAAAAAACATAATTATTAATGTACAAGTCTAAAAAATGTGAAAGCATATATAAACGTGCAAGGTTCGTTAACCTTGAAACGCAACTCCCTTCATTTTGTATATCCTTGAACATTTGGTATTTTATAGTAATGTACTAACATTATTTCATTAGGCTTTTATTTTGGAGTGTATAATACTTGAAAAAAAATGTTTTTTTTAATTTAATTTATTTTATTTTATTTATGTTTTGAAGTAATATTTATGTGACAATGTGGTGCATATACTAATTTAGTATTATGTTTTTTTTTTCAAATTATATTTTTCATTTTCATTATTTATTGATTTAAAAATATTTTGTTTAATGGATAATGGGTCGGGTCATATTACTTGATAATATTCGAGTCGATATCGGGTCAGGTCATATTATTTATTTACTTTAATGGATGTTACACGACCCGTTAAGATATCAGGTATAACACAAAAACGACACAAACACGAGAAAACACGACACGAATATCAGGTCTAATTGTAACTTAGCATTACCCCGTCTCCACCAATTGTTGTGGAGGCTTTTGGGCGTCCCCATGAGAGTCATGGAAGACAATATAGGGTACATGATACCTCCTAAGGCTGTTGCATTTTGCTAAATTTTAGGGCAGATTCCATTTAAAATTCTAATTACAATAGGTATGATCTTTCAAATTTTGAATTGCGTTAACCCTCAAAACTGGTGAAGCTAACAAAGACCACTATGGTCATGTGGGCTCGGGGTTAGGATGATGAGAATATAACAACAATATTTAATTGGTTCACCCTTCAAAATTGGGCTATGTCCACTGAGTCTCTCGTACATATTGAATAAAAGGGTTACATATATCGCTCGGCTTTAGACACTCTCTTTTCTTTCCCCATTCGTCATGCCTGTTCTAAATGGTATTTGTCCTCCTTATATAAGCCCTCAATGAGCCCCAAGTCTCAAGGCTCGAGTCTTCAATTACCTTTGCATTTAATGCGCCAAATATGTAGACCTAATCTACTAGATGCCCCTCCATTATTTAGATAAAACGTGGCAATGAAGTGACATCTATTATGGTCCACTTGCATGTTTTCTTGGAACAACGGATACCGAGCACCTTGCTCAACCCTGGTGTTGGTGGGAATTCACACTTGAGCTCTTAACTTGTCAGTCTTTACGTCCCTTCATAGGCATATGTTCTCTCTGATAGTTGTCACGTGACCTTGAGTGGACATCTAAGTAGGCATATCCCTGTGTCCTGAGGCTTTGTGCTATAAAGTTATCAGTATACCAACTTGCTTCTGTGATCGGAAAACACTTTATAGTAGGGGTGGGTTCAAAAAACCGAAAACCAAACCAAACCGAGGCCGAAAAAAACCGAACCGAAAAAAAAACCGAACCGAAACTACCAAACCGAACCGAACCGAATTTGGTTGGTTCGGTTTCGGTTTTTGAGGTTTGGAAACCGAACCGAAAAAAAAATCATATATAAATACTAAAAAATACATGTTGCCGTCGGGGTTTGAACCCTTTCCCTACGGGTTGGGGTTGGTTGTTGCAAGCCAACTTGACTGTAGGCTTTGTGTTGTTATAATTGTACCAGTAATTTATTTATAGGTTTCTTATGTTTAATGCTTTATAAAATTTCTTAACTTTACAAACCCTAGCTGTCTCACTCCCATTTCATTTCAGATCTCAAACACCTCTCTGTTCCGTCCGCTGCTTCCTCTTTGCCTTTGCTTCCTCTCTTTCTCTCTCTCTCTCTCTCCCTCCCTCTCCCTCTCCTTCCTTTCTTCCTCCAAATCACTCTCTCTCCAATCTTCTCCTGTCCTCCTTGCGGATTCCTTCTTCCAAACCATGATTTTCCCTCGCCCCTTTCGAGATCCGACAAAAAGAGGAATTGAAAGAGCTTGCGACGATCATGGCTATATCGCTGCAACAAAGGTTGTGGTTTTATTTATTTGTCAGTTCATAGGTTTTTAATTGTATGGTTACCCATTTGAAATTTATGTAATTTAAGGTGAAAAAGTTTGTATTTTTCTCTAAATATGTTTTGGAATTTTCTAGATCTATTGTGGACTTGACTATGAATTTGACTATAAAAATAAAAAACCGAAAAAAACCAAAACCGAACCGGAAAAAACCGAAACCGAAAAAAACCGAACCGAAAAAAAACCGGAAAAAATGAACCGAACCGAAATTTTGGTTTGGTTTCGGTTTTGGCAAAAAACCGAACCGTTTTGAACCGAACCCACCCCTACTTTATAAGGAAGCGCTCGGCTTCATAGCTAGCAAACAAGTTAGATCGCCGAGCTATCGCTTTTAGCGGTCGAGATCATCCTTCCCATTTCTATTGGGCTTGGTCTTCCTCCCATCAGGCTTCTCTTCTTTTGGGCCTTTCTTTTAGGCATGTGACCATGCGTTAACAATTTTTTAAGAGTAAACTTAATTAGACTAAGATTCTTGAATTTTGTTTAGATTTAAATTACATAATGATTTAGGAGCAGAGTTAAAATTGGATTTTAATTAGGATTCCCTATTTTGTAGGAAACCTATTCCTACAAGGAAACCAATTCAATTAATAGTTAATTAAATTATTTATTTAATAAAGATCTTAATATGGTTAGGAGAATTAAATTAAAATAAAAATAGGAAACCAAATTAGGAAATGAAAATTTTCCCCTCCCACTTAATAATTTCGGCACGCATAGCTTTATAGGGCTTGAGTTTCTTGGCATACCACCTATATATCCTACAAATTTGCATCGCAACTAGAGTAAAAAGGTTAAATGGTTCAGCGAAAGGGTATGCAACAATTGAATTAATTCAATAATTTGCTATTGTCTATTCTATTTTATTCTAATTCATGAGGTTGATTATGGACTAGGCCAAACAAATAATTAAGCTATGTAATTGGCCGCTTTATATAATTTGATTATGGTGTTGGGAAACAATAATGTGTTATTGCAGGTGTTTAAATCTATTTTATTTTCCCGGGTTGTAATTTAAGTGGGGCTTGCGTGCCTCATCTCCTCTAACCAATGAATGATGATTTGGTTTCTTTGTATTTATTTTACATTCGGAGTTTCTTTAAGGGACGTTAAAATAAATCAACACCACCATACTTAGATGATCCAATCTTCGTGACTCGGGATTGGTTCATTTTTTTTATAAGTCCATGATCATGCCAATTTCAGCCAAGGGATGCGATTCCCCGGCCTTGTTTTGTGTTTTAAATTTGTTTCAAAACATACTACTATTGTGAAACCTAAAAAATAAAAGGGGTTTTTGAATTTTAATCCTTCAAGAAGACTAAAATTTAAAAAACAAAAACCTAGTGTTAGATTGATTATTGATTTTAGACCATTAATGTGTACTTAATTCAAATTCATATTATATTTTTGTTTTTATATTTAATAGAATTTTTTTTTGTCAAAGTTTTTATATTTAATAGATAACTTATTTAATGTTATTACATTAAATTTTAAATTTATTATTATACAATTTTATTTAACTTTCTCCAATTAGTGTACCTAAACATCCATATCATAATATATTTTAATAAATTAGTGTACCAAAATGCTCGTACCTAAATATATTATAGTGAATTAGTGACCGATAAGAAAATATGTAAAAACATAAGTGTACCAAAATTTCGTACCTAACTATATGATACTAAACTAGTGTACCGATATGTCAGTACCTAAATATATTATACTAAACTAGTGTACCGAAATGTCCGTACCTAAACATATTATACTAACCCATTATACCGAAATGTTCGTACCTAAATATATTTTTATGAATTGGTGGCAGATAAGAAAATATGCAAAAACATAAGTGTACTGAAAAATCTCTACGAAAATATTTTCTTATATAAGATGCCTACCATAATGAGAATTAAAATTTATAATATTTTCATAAAATTATAAATAAAAAAAGAAACATTGAATACATTTGCTGGCATTAAATAGAGTCTAGGGACTAAAATTAATTTTTAATCTTGTATAAGACATTTTTCTCAACTTCATCTTATTTAGGGATTAAAATCTAGTTTTCTAAAAATAAAACCTTCAAGTTTCATATTGGTTTGAAAAAGAGCTTAATAAAATGTTTCATTGAGCCTAGCCTTCCACCAATGCGTAAAATCATTATAGAGAACCGATCTATGTAGTTGCCATGATACTAGGAAGATTTTGAGAACTCCAGAGGACCGGCCTTACACGTACACTTATTGTTGTTAGTGTTGATGAATACTTTGAATCTGACTACCGTAGTTGCTTGGAGTACATTTAAGGTTCGTAATTCCAACAAGACACTTTTGGTGGGTAAAGAACTAACCAAGTTGTGCGTATTAGTTGCACATGCGATACTGAACTCTTCTGGCGGCTAAACGTCGGTATTTCCAAAATATTAATTGCAGAGTAGTTTGAAATCTCTTATGTAGATAACCGGTAGAGTATTAGATGTACATGCGGTACTTGGCCTTCCTATCATAAGCCTCCGGTCCTGTCACCAGAATTACACATAATTGAATGTGTCAAAATCTGCGAAATTGCTAGTATCCAATCTTATTTTTAAGGAAAAAGATTTCCTAGATATCCTAGAGATCCCGTGATCATGACCGTGCATCGTACATCGTGCGATCAGAAATCATTTCATAATTTAAAATTTAAAATTAAATATAAATAGTACCTCATAAAAACTAACCTTACGATATACAATGAATGGTCACAATTACAAGATCCCTATGATCCTCAGGAAAAGAATCCGGTGAGTATCCTTTCCTATTATTAAGGCCCATATTTGATTGGTGATTATTTAATCCACTAAAACTAATTAAAATTTGTTTGTTTTTTATTTATAGCAATGACAAACTCTCTCAAAAACCTATAAAGAAAACAGGCTTATTGGTCCAAACTTTCAAGATTGGCTCCACAATCTTTGTTATGTCTTAGCTATTGAGAAGTTTGCGTTCCATATGGATGAGGACCTTCGTATTGAGAAGTTATCTAATAACTCCACTCAACAGGAAAAGCGTGAGAGGAAGACTTTGTTAGAGGCCAATGAGACAACTTATTTCTATATGCTAGCGAACATGAGTGTCGAACTTCAAAGACAGATTGGCAAAGTGAAAGCCGCCAAATGTATCATTGATCAACTTGGGAAGTTGTTAGGATATATTAAGAGTACAAGTTAGCAATACAGTTAGAAAAACAGTTAGCAATACAGTTAGCAAGTTTGTTAGTATTTAATTAGAGTTGTTAGGTTTTCTAGTAAAAAACAATGTGTAATCTTCATTCTCTTAAGTCAATATACAAGTCTCATATTTCTCTATCTAAATTCTTTTTATTTCATCTTTCTCGGTTACTCTTTCCTCTCCATTTTATCTTGGATTCTCAAATATTTCAACGTAGTTAATATGGTTTCACAGCCATCAGGTTCATGCCATGGATTCTAGTGGTTCCCTTCTCATTAGTTTCATCTTTTTCTAGTCTTTATTTCTTTTTTAATTTTCTTTAGAAATTCCGTTAATTTCCTCGGTGCTTCCACAATCGTTCAATTCGTTATGTAACTTCTGGGTTAATTTTCTTCTCGAATTTTCTGTTCTTGAATTGTTGGTTCTTGAATTTGGGGTCTTTTCATATTTTCATCAAGTCCTTCACCTCCTGATACAAGGACAGAAAATGGGTGTTCCAAGAAGCCAGCGGCAATGGATCATGGTGGACGGGAGTCTGAGACCGGTCTTGGTCAGGCTAATCGTCGTTATCGACGTCATCTTGGAAGGGCTCAGGAGACGGGTCGCGACCATATCAAGAGCAGCAGTCAGCCTTTCAATTGATGCCTTCAATTACCCTACAGCTGAAACAGAGGCTTGTCCGCACTGCTTCTTGTCCTGTTCCCAACCATCGAACATCACCACTCCGATTTTTCACTCAACAAGATCAAGATCACATAGTCTGTGATTTTAGAGATGGAGGTGATTTCAGCAAGGAAATATATTTGGAGTTTGGGGTATATGATTTCGTTCTTAATTCTTGGTTCAATTGACTGGAGATATGGGTATACTTACTTGGCAGAAGTGGAAATGGATGTGATGTGGATATTATGGAGGAAGTAGAATCAGTTGTAGTTGAATTCGGATCAATGAGTCAGGTTTGAACAAGAAAGACAAGTTGTATGACATTACATTCGAAATGTTTGCTGATTCCCAAAAGAAAAGGAGAGCTCAAGCAACAAGTTTTTTGGTGACTTGAGACTGTAACAGGGGAATCTTGTTCAAGTGATTACTTGGCAGTTGTGATCCCGTGGACACATCTTTCCTTCTGAGATATCCTATTTCACCAACCACAAGCAAAGGAATTTCACCTAATTGACTGGTGGTCCATTGCCTCCAATTCAATCTTGTAGTTTATTGGCAGTTGTATGTTAAGGTTGATCTTTTGAGGAGGATATCCACTTCCCATCTGTAATTGGTCCACCTACTGACTTATTCAATAATGTTTTCTATGCGAAGCTATACCACTACAGATTTCCATGCCTCACTGTAAGTGAAGTTAATTGCTGACAGAACACAAGCAGCTTATATTATCAAGTCTAACAAACTTAGTTGCAGCATGTATCCACTGTAAGTTCGGTTTTCTGTTTCTTAAAAAGATCAAGTTTGTTGAAGTTGTTTTCCGGTAAATCCCACGAAGGGTAATTCTGTGTTGTGAATAGGTAAAACCACAAAGGGTAATCCCGTGGTGTGAGTAGGTAAAATCCCATGATACTATAGTTAAGGTCAATGCCACACTATAATTTGTTAATTTTCTGTTTTTGTAAATATGAAAGGCCGAAGCCAAAGTTGAATGAGATTGTTAATGGTAAATCCCACTTAGGGTAATCCCGTAAGTTGTTGTTGTAACAGCATGAGGGTGTGCTACGACATTTTATAGAAGGCTATTCTATGTGAAGCTTTCTGTTAGAGGCAGATGAATATAGGGTGACATGATTTTTGGATATGTGCATCATAATTGCTTCAAGTCTTGAAGAATTGGTTCATGCATTCTGTTTTAAAGTTTTTGCTTTGCAGTAAGGCAATGGGACAAATTTGGACTGTTTCCACAAACAAAGGCTTTTGGTCAGCAGCTACAGAGGTGGAAACATCAGTTTGAGGGGCAGCAGTTTGGATATTTACGGATTCTATTTGTTTGGAATACCAGAACATGGATTTGATAGGGGTTTTGGCAACTCCAAAACCTAAATTTTATATCTCAGCTCAAGGATGTAAATTTGGTTTCTGAAGGGTATAATGACTCTAATCTAATCGAGTTTGCAAGGCATGTACTATCTGGTATGTTGGATGGGCATGGACTTTACGCTCAAATGTGTTGAGCTTCAAGATCAACAAGAGACAGAAGTAGTGATTGCAAATGTTCTTCTAATCTCAAACTGTTTTCCCCAGTTGAAATTGAGGGGGAGTATTAAGGGTATAAGTCAGCAATACAGTTAGAAATACAATTAGCAAGTTTGTTAGTATTTGGTTAGAGTTGTTAGGCTTTCCAGTATAAAAATAGAGTGTGTAATCTTCATTCTTTTAAGTCAATATACAAGTCTCATATTTCTCTATCTAAATTCTCTCTAGTTCATCTTGTTACTCTTTCCTCTCCATTTTCTCTTCGATTCTCAAATATTTCAATGCAATTAACACGATAAGATAGCCGCACGGTCCGTTTTGATGCTGCCAGGGAGTTCATATGATCTTGTTGTGTTGAAGGTGGTGATATGCAAGCTCATGGCATCAAGATGTTAAATTTGATCGATGACATAAAGAGGCTTGAGGTTGAGCTTCATTCTGATCTTCAACATGACGTCATACTGCAATCTGTACCGTACTCATTCAGTCAGCTCGTTTTAAACTACCATATGAATCACATCTCAGTTGCGACACAAGAACTGGTGCACAAGATTTCCACTGCTTTCATAGACATCAGGAGAGATTAAGGAAGCAAAGAGTTGCTCGCCATGGCAAAATCGTTTGATTCAAAGCCCAAAAAGAAAGCTAAAGCCAATACTCAAAAACTGAAAACCAAGGGCACAATTGCCAAGGACCAGGAGGAGGTAAAAGGTCTGTGTTACCACTGTGGAAAGATGTGACAGTGGAAAAGAAACCGTTGACAAGTTAATGTTGTATTAATTAATAATGTGATCTAGTAAAAGTGTTTGAGAAGTGGGAGCTTGGGTGATGCAAATTGTTTGTATCATACCATTAAATTCATGGATTGGATTCAGAATATTTGTCATAGTGCGAGTGCAACTTGTAAGTACTTTAAAAGTGTTAGGTAAAGTTGTAAGCAGACTCCAGAATTCAAAATTTGAATTTGAAATTCTAATCCAAGCAAGAATGTCGAATTTCCCTTAATTGTGGACTTGATAGGGCAATAGCTCAAGCCATAAGAACTTATATATTTCATGGAGTAATTCATGTCAACTTCTAATTCATATCCAAGTGAGTATAAGCATTCTCAGAGGCTCGAAATAAGCATGGTGGACACTATTACTCAATGAGTGATTGATGATATAACTAGGATGAAATATGCAATAGTAAGGATTGTCATGCGTATTAATTACCTTTCATGCAAGTGGGAAGCATGCCTGAAAAGCAATTGGTGTGGCAACACATAATTGGTTATTCCAGGTAACCCAATGTCGAGTTATTGGAGCCAAAGGGCAAGTGAGAACATCCTGACCTACTAGCGGATTAGGAAGGTTCTTTGTTGATTAGAATGAGTCTAAGGTATAACTTAAGTGGTAGGGATGAGATTGCAAAGATGTTCCAATCTTGAGATACATACCATACAAATCTGCAGTCTTAAATTATGTTCCTAGCCATAAGATGATCGAAAGGACTATCAAACATCTGCAAATGCCGATTTATATTGTATCCATTAGTAAGTCTCAAACTAAGCATGCAGTGACATGGAATAGGCATAAAAGTCCTCGTCTATGAGATTGAGTTCACTAGACATTGACCAACCATAAAAGTCTATGAATAGAAGATTACCTACTTGTCAATTATACCATGTCAGTTATACCACACTTTTGTATTATATGGATACTGCTAGTACTTAGACCAAAGACATCACTAGTTATCTTATGTTAATGAATGTCATCTTTAGTCTCACCTAGAAGCTCTCAAACAATAACGGAGCCCTATAGAGTGAGGTTTCAATCATGTGTATTAACATAGAGATACATGAATGCACAAAAAGGAATCTGTCACCTTCTAGATGTCATAGTAGCCCATTGACGATTTATCTCCAGAAGTAGTTTTTGGCCAAAGCAACATATAAGAGATATATCATGGTGACCATATATACGCTTAGAGTTTTCATAAATATTTCATGCTCTAAAATATATGATCAGAATATGGTAGACTTCAAACATATTCTGACTAATCTGGGCGACCAAAAGCCATTGGTAGATGTTACTATTCGGCTTGTGGATATTCCTGCAATATTGAATTAGAATGGTTTCTAACTATGTAAAATTTGATTAATCAAATTATCCCCTTTCAGCATTAGTTGGAACCTACAAGGTCACACACTATACAATGATATCGGAAGATAAAATTGATGAAGGCTGGATTTAATATAAATTGTTTATGTTAAATTGCTTTTCATTTATATTTGATTAATTGATTTGGACCTTGTATTTATTGTAAGTTATTTAAATAAAGTAAATAAGGAAGCCCAGTCCGAAATAAAAGACCAGATTAACAAAATAAAAAAATAAGAGCGAACCGGGTAAAACCCAGTAACAAAAAGGATGTGTGGCAAGCCCAAATGATGTCTTCTAAGACAAATGGCACACAAGCGGTAAAGAATTAAACTGTAATATTACTGACTTATGAAATTATTCTATTTATATGCCTAAAACATGGCAAGTGCAAACAAAATAAAGAAAAGAAAAAAAAATAAAAAATAGGGCGTCATTGTTAAGATACAAGTACAGTAATAATATTGTATTTCTGCAGAAAATACAATAAAGTCACAATGAATGAAAAAAATGAAAAAAATAACAAATCAAGAATTAAAACTGATCTCGCAAGTCTGATCATTTGCACTGCAAACTTTTAAGCGTCTTTGATGACAAATCAAATGCAATGGTGCAGTCCATGGTGGAAGACTTCTTCTTCTTCATTATAAACATAAGTTCAACCTTTCCAATCAACTTAGCCGCGCTGTTGAGGGTCAAGACCCCGCTGCTCAATTCACTGCCAAGATTGGAACTGCTCAATGCACTTGAACTCAAGCTCACCTCAGCGTCAATTTTTTTGGTGGAAAGCATTCCAGCCTTGCTCTTTGGAATAGAAACTTGCCCGACAGTTGCACCTTGGTACAAAAACGTGATAATGGCTGCATCAAACTTGTATGGACCAAAATTTGTGTTCTTTACTCTGATTTGGGTTGTGAATTTGGTGTCGAATGAAGGTGATGCTGGGGCGGAGTTGAGCTCTTGGACGTTGATGTTGCCTAGCCTGACTTTTGGGGTTTTAACTTTCATGACAGTGAGACTCATCACCGTTATGACCATGATCTGAAACACAATGAAAATACCAATGTAAATGGCTAACTTGATTCTCTTCTTGCGTTTCATCTCATCAACAGATTCCAAAGACTCTGCATCGCTTCTTGTGTAACCATTTGCTGGTGCTAAAGGATATGCATGTTGGTTCTTTTCGGCCATGTTCTTCTTGTGATTGGTTGAGGTGTATGTTTTCAGGGATGAAACTTGGAAATGAGGGATATTGTGGAAATGATGGAAGAGTCGTGCGCTATATATAGCGTTTGGAGTTTGGCCTGTTTTCAATAAGTTGTGTAGGGGAATGAGCTTCTTGGAAAATGAGAGTTAGAAGGGAATAATTTGATTGCAGACGCGCCAAACGCGTCCAAGGCCAAGGGTGAGCTTATTGACTTCTAGATGATGGATGACTTTGGTGAAGCATCTATTATATGCTTTACTTTTCATCTTATATTCTTATTTTTGCTTTGAGCTGTCATGGTATGGACATACAAAATATGACAATATCAACAGAAGCATCTATTATAGTACACTTTATTGTTTATAAATTTGGTCAAGCATGATACTTCTAGGGTGATGATTTTCACACTACCAATTTATCTTTTTGCAATTTTTATTTATTTATTGGTTACTCTTTAGCTTTTTTCAGTCGTAGGGCTACAAAAATATAGAAATGCAATAGCAGGAAAAAAAATTAAAAATAAAAAATTGATGAGTGCATAGGAGAAAATGGAGGGCGAAAAACACTTTCCTTTTTTCCATTTCTTAGGGAAAAAGTGGAATGGGTGTTCAAATTATAATTCAAGGACTGAAAGATGTCTTCAAACTAATCCAGAAAAAACAAGGCTTAAGAAACTTAATTTAACATTCAAGCTAATATTTTGTTCGACATGTGATTGATATGAATAATCTAATAGAAAGCGCATAACTCATAATACTAAAGTACAGGTAGCATTTTAATATCAACTTTGCCTAGAATACGAACAATTGGATCTCTACACGTCTTATAGAGAAAGGCACCTCATGTGTTATTTTGTATTTTATATCCTTTTCTTTATGTGCTATGTGAAACAAAAGACTTCTTCCTACATACAGCCGTCTAGATTGATCCTAAATATCAAAAACCCTACCCTATACGTGCGTTTTGGTTACATTATTTGAGCATTTCGTAGAAGCTTGTACCACACAACATTAACCCTCTATGTATATAACACACTACTCTTCCATCATTTCCACAAACTCCCTCCACTTCCAAGCTTTCATCCCACAAAAGAAACCAGCAAAAGCTAGCAGATAACCATCATCGTTTCCACCTTCATATTAAAAAAGAAAGGAAATTAACATGGCTAGGAAGCAAAATGATGCGGAATCTTTGCAGTCCGCTGACGAGCTGAAACGCCAGAAGAGAATCAAATTAGGCATGTACATTGGTATCTTCATTATGTTTCAGATCATGGTTATAACGGTGATGAGTCTTACTGTGATGAAAGTTAAGACCCCCAATGTCAGGCTAGGCAACATTAACATCCAAGAGGTCAACTCCATCCTGGCATCACCTTCATTTGACATTAAGTTCACAACCCAAATCAGAGTCAAGAACACAAATTTTGGTCCATACAAGTATGATGCTGGCATTGTCACGTTTTTGTACCAAGGTGCAACTGTCGGGCAAGTTTCTATTCCAAAGAGCAAGGCTGGAATGCTTTCCACCAAAAAAATTGACGCCGAGGTGAGCTTGAGTTCAAGTGCATTGAGCAGTTCCAATCTTGGCAGTGAATTGAGCAGCGGGGTCTTGACCCTCAACAGCGCGGCTAAGTTGACTGGAAAGGTTGAACTTATGTTTATAATGAAGAAGAAGAAGTCTTCGACCATGGACTGCACCATTGCTTTTGATTTGTCATCAAAGATGCTCAGAAGTTTGCAATGCAAGTGATTAGAAAAACTAAGTAGCTTGGTGCAGGAGGGTGGAGTTGAACTGCATTATTTCTGTAACATCTTTAGGATTCAAATTGCGAGTGAACAAGTTGATTTGTTATTCTTTATGCGACCCTTGAATTTGTATTTTATACAATATTCTTTTATTAATTTTTTAAGCATTTATGTCAGTTTTACCTTTCTTCCTGTCTTCAATATATGGTGCTTTCTAAGTTTAAAACCTTGTAGGTGTGTTCATTTTTACACTTGTTACGCCGTTTTACTTTTGACTATTTCATGGTTAGTGTTTACTTGTTAAGCTAAAGGTTGCTGTTTAACTTGTGAAATGTCATTTCTTCCCTTGTTAAGCTAAAGGTTGCTGTTTAACTAGCACGCTTCTTTTGAGTTTTTCAGAATCTTCGTTCTACGGTGAGAAAGTCCTCTCGATTCCAGTGAGAGAAAATGTCTCGTCTCTGTGAAAAACTCATGAAAGTCCGAATCTATTCTTCCTTCTTGTATTCCCAAATTGATAAGCATTGCCTATTTTGAAATCAAATATTTCGATGATATATCCTTCTAATCAAACAAACCTTTTGAGCTGCAGTTCATTTGAGAGAAATTTTACTGCTTGATTCAGATTTCGTACTAGCTGAGTATTATTTTTCATATCAGAGCATCACAAATCATTCTCTGCATTTGTCTGTTTATAATAACTTATATTTTCAATGACGATCCATTGATTTTATGATCTAAGAACCATTTGCATACATTTCATTGCTTATACCCAATGGATTTGGTGACTGAGGAGAGTTGAAGCTGCAGAGGTAATCGCTGCCACTTAGATTAGAAATAAGTGATCATTGAGCTTAAATGTGTCCTTGTATTGAGATTCAACTCTTACAGTTTGGTGGTTACAATGTTGTTTATACTCATTGTATTACATTGAACTGTGTAAAGGTTAAACTGGGAAAAAAGTAGGGTACATTTAGTCACAACCATAAATTGAGCTATCATACTTTTTCTTCCCTCTTTTACTAGTATACCCCAAAAAAATGCTCAAACCGGCGGCGTCCAGTAGAGCAGATCCAAGAGAAACGTATTCTTTAGTTTGGAGTTCGAAGTAGGGGAGACCGGTCGAACAAGAACCCTACTCAGACTGGCCAAAACAAGTCTGTATTTTATGTTTAATTTGGTCATCCTTTTTTTTTTTTTTTTTTTTAAAGTTATTTTGAAAGTCATAAAGACCTTATTGCAGCAGAAACCAAAAATCAAGGACCTTATGGGAACACACTTTTAGGATAAAAGAAATAATTAGAAAAGTGGTTTCCATGCATTTCTTTTCTCATTCTACATGCCTGTTTTTTTTTTTTTTTTTTCGAATGAAGAAATCAAACGAGAATCAAAGAATATAAATAAGCAGAGTATGCAGATGGACAAAAGTGTCCAAAAATATATCCAAATATATATCATGTCTGATTTCACTTGCATTGTAAGTTTGGACCGTCTTTGATGACAAGGCAAATGTGACTGTGCAGTCCAAAATTACTTCTATTCAACATCTAATTTTCCTTTCACTATCTGATTCTATTAAAACTGTGTGATTGGATTCAATTTGATGAACTCAGGAATTCTTGCTATATATACTACAGAAGTTACGCATCTGTTTCTAAATTCAATCAAACAAAATAAATAAAAGAAAAAAAGAAAACAGGGGCCTCATTGGTTGGACAAGTAAAGCAATACAGTTCTGCAACAAAATACAAGAAGTCCCAAAGAGGACAAAAAAATGAAACGATAACAAATCAAGAACTAGCATTGATGCAGGTCTGATCACTTGCATTGCAAACTTTTGAGCGTCTTTGATGACAGATCAAATACAATGGTGCAGTTCATAGTGGAAGCCTTCTTCTTTTTCATTATAAACATCAATTCAACCTTTCCGGTCAACCTAGCCGCACTGCTGAGTGTCGATACCCCACTGCTCAATTCATTGCCAAGATTGGTAGCGCTCAATGCACTTGAACTCAAGCTCACCTCAACGTCAACCTCTTTGGTCGAAAGCATTCCAGCCTTGCTCTTTGGAATAGAAACTTGCCCGAGAATCGTTCCTTGGTACAAAAACGTGACAATTGCAGCATCATACTTGTATGGACCAAAATTTGTGTTCTTGACTCTGATTTGGGTTGTGAATCTAGTGTCGAATGAAGGTGTTGCTGAGACGGAGTTGAGCTCTTGGACGTTGATGTTGCCTAGCCTGACCTTGGGGGTCCTAACTTTCATCACAGTAAGACTCATCGCCGTTATGACCATGATCTAAAACACAATGAAAATACCAATGTATATGGCCAATTTGATTCTCTTCTAGCGTTTCAGCTCGTCAGCGGACTGCAAAGATTCCGCATCATTTTGTTTCCAAGCCATGTTAATTTCCTTTTATTTTCTGATATAAAAGTTGAAAAAACAAAAGTTGCCTGCTTTTGTTGGTTTCCTTTTGTGGAATGAAAGCTTGTGAGTGGTGGTAGTTGTTTCGTGGAAATGTTGAAAGAGTAATGTGCTTTATATAGTATATGGAGTTAGGCCTATTTTCAATAAGCTGTGCGGTCGAATGAACTTCCGGGAAAATGTGAGTTCAATCACGGAAGTATTTTATCGCACACACCAAACGCATGGGATTTTGTTTTGTTTTTTTTGAACAAAGATATTATCTACATTAAAAGAGTGATGAAGTGAGTTAAGCTTTACAATAAGCTAGTAATAATGTGGTTTAAATTCGTCTTTGGTGAGAATTGACCTAAGACATTTTACTTACAAGTGAAGAGGATTGCGACTAGATCATAGTACTAATTTAGGAACTTGAGGAACTTTTAGTTTTTTTCTCTGACCGTGACGAGAGAACATTTTAAATATCCGTAGAAGCTTCTGTTAATATATTGATCAAGTCTTCTGATTAATAACAGGTGAAAACGTGATGTAGGATCTAGTTATTGGCAAATTATTGTTTTTAAACTTGGATTTATTATTCTTTAATCTCACTGGTCAAGCAAGATCCTTTTGCACTCCTATCGTTTTTATTCATTGAATTTCCATCAGTTTATACAATTGTAAGACGGAAAGAAATTGAGTAGTGCAGAGAAAAAAATGGAGTGTTAAACTCATTTGCGTCTTTTTTTAATCAAGAGAACAACGTGCAAATAATATTGTTTGTTAAAAAAATAATTGGTTAACTATAACTTTCGATCATGTTACTGTAAAAACTATTATTTCTTGCACCATCTTGCAACTTAATATTGAACAAATATTCCTAGCTATAATGGACATGGACGTTCCACCTGCTCATATTTCAATAAGACGCTCTTTTTGTCTTGTTTCTATAGCGTGAACATTTTTATACAAAATCTTGATATTTAGTGACTAGAATCTAACTAGGCAAATTCATTAATTAAGCTTAACAAGTCAGATTTTATATCTTTAGTATTCCTGAATACCCTTAATAACAATTGAACATGGTATATGGTTCTCTACATATTAAGTATATCTAGTGGCGGATCAATGAATTGAATCTTAGGGGGTCCCAGTGTTAAAGGTCTAAGTTTTTTAGATAGAAACAGAGTCTGAAGCGTGCACCAAAAAAAAAAAAAAAAAAAAAACCAGTTATTCACTAAGATAATTTGTCGAACACTTAGTGGGCTCGTTGTCGTTAGCCGAACCAAGTTGCGCACATGTCAAAAGACATTGACATATGTCGAAGCATTATGACGAGTGCCATTGGGAGAATTTGTTGAGTGTTGTCAACGTAACCTGTGATATGCATTTTGTCAGACACTTGTTAGGCACAAAAATGACCCGTACCCGATATTTAAAAGGACCTCAGATAACCTTCAAATGTATATTTCTCGAATTTTAGATGGAATTCTAGGACCACCTTGATCCCAATGTGCAGCCAGCTGATTATATCCATTTATTGTGTTGAACTAATTATAAATCTAACTAGTCATACTAACTGTGTTAAATTTCTAATTGGGTGGATTACAGTGCATCCGTTTTTTATATTAACATTTTAAATTTCCTGATAGTTTTGCTCTCTTTAATTTTGTTTGAAAAATCAGTTTACCTACATTTTATTTTTCAGTTGTTTCATGGCTTTAATTTGAGCTCTTCAGATCCTGAATCTCCATAAATGGGTATGACTGGTTAAGGTGACCAGCTTTGTGCGGCAACCGCAAGTTAAGGTACTCTGGATTTGTTATAGCGCCACCATTTCACAATATACATTGTCCGGGAAAGCAAGTTTTGGGATTTCTGTTTTGTCCTACTGACGCTCTTCTATGAAAGTGGAGGCTTTACTTTAACCGGTCTGTTAAAGTCTCCTTGCTACGGCCTTTTTTTATATCCCTAGCTCGGAGGGTTACTCGAATCTTTCGTTTTTGTACTCTACTCGTTCCTTGAAGGTCCAATTAATTAATAGTAATTGGAGGACGGTTAGTGTCTGTTCTGCATGACTCTGGAACGTTATAGCTAAGGAGCGGATTTCAGGGTCCCTTGACTTGCCAAATGGTTTCCGGTATGCCTATACAGTAAGTCTTTACGCACATGATAGTGGCAGCCAGGATTCTACAATAGGCGGCCGCTGGAAAACCCGACTTAGCGAATCACTTCCAGGCTGGCATTAAATCTTTCTCGTGCCAGTGGCTCTTGTGCGCCCCATTTATGCTGGTGGCATACCGTACCGTATTGTGCTGAACACTCACAAAAGCCGTGGCCTTCCGCTATGTTAGACCCTCCCCTAGAAGTACAATGGTTGGTCCCTCCGGAACTGGTAATTTCCGTTTGACTTGAAAGGAGCCTTGTTCGGCAGGTGCGCAGCAAGTATTCTTTCACAAGTTTGGCGCAAGTCGTACCTCCTTAGCTACTTGTACTAAAAAACTAGGGCGCTATACGGAAGTTCGCGCCTGCTTATCCCGGCTACAATAACTATCGAACAGCGATCCATCTGAAGAATGGCGCTCGTATATCCGGTCTGTACTTTCCCCTATTAGAGAAGGGCGGGGTTTGGAACCCTCAAGCAAGACATGATCCACATAATAAGACATCATAGCGCCTAGAGATACAGGTACGGTTCATCGCGTTACTTATCCAAGCGTGTTGCCGGATAGTCGGATATGCCGTACTCTGATTTTTATGAGGTTAGGAACCATTTGCCGTTACCAGCATTGCTCATTATTAGGTAACGCATTCCCGTTTATCGATTTAAAGGTTAGGGTGACACGTTGTCGCTTTCGCTTTAATCTTTAATAATGAATGATATGGAGTCATGCAAGGAGCGCGCTTTACTAATATAATAGAAAGGGGCTTTCACCATCTATTTCTGCCCGAACTCTTTCTGAGTTTCCCTCCTAGCGAACGGGGAAAGCTTATCCCTCACTCGCATTCGCCTAATCGAGCAGAACGCCACTCGGCGCTCATCCTACAACTGGTCCCGCCTATAGTTATAGTGTCGAACACACATAAGTATAGGTTTTGTTGTCCTTACGACGGTTGTCAAAGACCGGGGCTTTGCACTTCGCGACCCTATCCGAGTATGTGCTTAGTGCAACGCCCCATAGAACAATGAAGTAATGTATCCATACGAGCTCCGGCCCTCAGCAGCTCGAAAAAAAAAAAGAAACTTGTTCATTTATGTTACCTGTTGTGGACCTTCAACGTTTCACCTTTCATAGATCTGGGAAAGGGTTTGGGAAGTGACGTTGAGGCTGGGCACGTGCGATAAGTAATAAAGAAAGCAAAGGGAAATCAGAGGAGTTAGAGCAGGGAACAATGGGCATCCCTGCCTGGAAAACTAACAGTAGAGTGACGCGAAGGACCTCTAGCAACTCTACTACCGCCTTTCCTACCAAAAAGCTAACCCAACCGAAGGAAATTACATAAGGTCTGGAAAGGGCTGTAAAGAATAAAACTCCTTCCTCCCCTGTTCCGGAGATAGATATAGCCCTCTCGAAACCTAGCTGTTAGAGTTTTATTTTTGTGGGGGGGTAATAATAAACTAAATCCCCGAACGGGTACTTGAACCCCTCTCCTGCAAGGTATAGAACAACTAAGGGTACTGGTCCTGCTCGCTTTGGTTCTGCTCCTGTGGTGACCAAGAAGCAGGAGCTTGAGCTCAACCAGCCATTGATAATCACTTTTTTGGTTCCCAATCGGGATGGAGATTCTGGTCCGGTGTAGGGGACACCTTATTCATGATCTAGGGGTCAAATGTAGCCTGCGCTAAGCAGGGAGAGCTCCTCTTTGGTTCCATCTGTCCACATTCTTCCCTTCCATCCAGGGGAATTGGGGCTTGATTGTTCCGTGTAGTCGATTCGCTAATTACCCTCCATGAACAGAGTCCATGAGCTCGGGAAGAGAAGTAGGGCCTTCGGTCAACCAAGAGAGGTCCAGCCCTTCCTGATCATTCTCGTTGCGTTCTTCTTTCGAGCTGATCAGTCAGCTTCTAGCCACCCAACCAATCCTGTTGATCCTGACCTACAGAAAGGGGTGAATGAGGTTCTGAAAGAAAGCCCTCATCCGTGTTTCGGTGACCGGGAGAGTCAGCCGGAGATAGGTCTGTGCTTTCATCATAGGGTAGCTCGTCAGTACCAGGTGTTGATCAGTCATCCAAAAGAGAGGAGCTCCGAGGACCTGTTTGACATCTCATTCAAGAGAGAGTGAGTCATCCATCCAATTCCTATGTTCACAGAGGGGCCCGAAAAAGAGAGTGAGTGAAAATGATGCACTACACGGACGCCATTTGGACCCTACGAAAGCAAGCCCCGAGCTGGTCCGTACCAACCAAGAAGATTGGCTTCATTTGCCATGTTGAGGGCTCAGAAGAAGCTCATGTTGGAAAGCAAGCATGTGCAAGAACCAATCAGGATACAAATCTGGGGTCTTCCTGGATGGATTGACCTACGACTGATTTACTCAGGCCCTTTCCCACTGACTTCTTCCTTCATTCGGAGAAGTCATCAGGAATGGAACCAGTGGAAAGTCGTATGCAGAAGAGAAGTGCAAAATGGGCAAAGACGAAGACTTTGGAAGCGAAAGACGCACCGATTGACGCTCTTCCAGCCCAGCTGCTGTTTATTGAGCTCAAAGTGGATGAGAGAGAGGCTTTTCTATGCTATGGTCTTCTCAATTGCCTAGTCTCGGTTCAAAGACAGTGGAAGGATCCATCCATCAGCCTTTCTATCTCCACAGCGCTGACCTGCGCTTTCCCACCTAGTTCACCGACCTCACGAGTCTGATTTGGCTCTCTATTG